CAGGGGGAGAGGGAGAAAGACTCCAGGAAGAGGGCTCTCTTCCCAGACAGCCCCGTTTGCTGGGATGGAGGCAGTGCGTCCTGCTTAGTCCCTAGCATTACAGTGCAGGTTAAAAATAGCCCCCCTGGGTGGAGTGAGCCGAGAGAGGATGAGGAGAGATAATGAGCAACACAAGCCCGCCAACGCAGCCTAGCAGGATGTGAGGCTGGCCAGGAAGAAAAGGATCTGGATACAGGATAACCCTGTCGGGGCTGCCACCAGCTGACAAATGGACAGCTCCAGGTTCTCCACCAAGTCCCTCCCTCCATCTGCAATGTATGAGATGTTTTCTTAAATGTGTTTATGTGAGTGTGTGCTCTGTGCATGTACACAGGTTTGTGTGTGTGCAGGTAGGTACACACGTGTGCATGTGCATGCATACATACGAGGAGGCCAGATGTAGACACTGGCTTCCTCAACCACTTTCCACCTGTTTTTTTTTTTTTTCTAATGACAAAGACTCTCACCGACCTTGGAGCTCACTGACTGGACAAGACTAGCTGGCTAGTGGATGCCAGGGATCCTCTTGTCTCCATACACATCCCTATACCCCATTCCACTGATGTGTTGAGATTACAAATGTGCCCTGTGGTCCCCAGCTTTTTAGGTTGGTGATGATCCCAGTGACGGCAGGCACTTTATTGACAGAGCCATCTCTGCAACCCATGATGCTTTTTAAAATAAGCAAAACAACAAAACAAAACAGTCTCACTATATAGTCAGGCAACCTCTAAATCCCAGCCGCCTCAGCCTCCCAAGTAGTAGGATTACATATAAGAACTGCCCTGTCTGATGAAAAGACTTCATGTCACCAGGTCAGGTTAGATAGGCAAGGCAATTTCCATCTTACAGTCAAAACGAGTTAAAAGATTTTCAAGTCACTTCCTAGAACAGGGGCCCCCCACAGCTCTCATCTGACTGCTGACCTCTGAGAAGGGGAGCCCTGATGAGGCCCTCCTTGGCCCATCTTTCTCCTGCCCTCCCCGCAGGGCCCATCCAGCGTGGGATCCAAACCTCCCACTCAGCACAGTAGGCTCAGGCCAGCTACCCCAAGGTGAAGCCGCCCTCCAAAGGCTTGGCTCAATCTGGGGCTGCGTAAAGCAGGGAGGGTCAGGTCAATGGGTCACTAGAAACAACTGGGACATCGCCTTAGAAACGCCCTCCCTGCTTGCTTGCACTGCCTGCCTCTGGTTCCACCCTGATACAGCTGCGTGTTAAACCCTTAGGCCTCAGTGGGAGGTGGGGGAGTATCAGGGAGGGCCGAAGTAGGACTGGAAGGCTTCCAGCTTCCTTTCGGGAGAGTATCAATCTTCGGTAAGCAGCTGTCTAAAGTCCCAGGAGAGCAGTAGGGTTTGAATCTGTATTACTGGCTGAGCCACAGGGATAAAGGATGAGCTGAGTGGGACTGGGTGCAGCCAGCATCGCCTCCTCCAGATCTCGGGCTGGAGCCTTTGCCAGACTCCATCTCTCGAAGCTGCTTCGGCAGCCAAGTGATGCGCTCATGGTCACCTGGTGTGAGACAGGCGAGCCTCAGACCATGGAGACATAGATCACCACTGGCTGTTTCCAGGTCCACGGTTCTGAGATGTCACAAGGGCGGGACAGGGAATTGAAGCATCAAGAGAGACAGTTGCACTCTGCTTCACGGGGCACCTCCGATCTGACTCTAGCCCTCCCCTTGCCAAGGCTTTCTCACGGAGAAGGAAGCAGAAAGAGGAGTTCCTTAGCTGGAGCCGTTAGGAGGGAGAGGGGAGCACCAGACAGGCAATGGCTCTCAGGTGCAAAGAGGTTGTAAGGATAGCGGGGGGGGGGGGGGGGGGGGGGGGGGGGGTACGCGGGCGCCT